TCCCCACCCGTTCCCCCCACGCCACCGTCAAACTCCAGCTGCGGTCTCCCGCGGCAGCCCCGCCCCGCTCCCCATTCCTCCCCCCACCCAACCTGCGACCGCTCCCGCTCAAGAAGAAAAAACCCGAGCTTGGCGAGCCGCCTGCCGGACGGAGAGCTGGTGGTCGGCGGAGGGGAGCGGACGGCATGGCGGGGCACGCGGCGGTGCGTAGCTGCGTGCAGACGGCGCTCAAGGCGGCCAACTCCCTCGTGGGGCTCGCCGGGATGGCCGTCATCCTCTACGCGCTCTGGGTGCTCCGCGCCTGGTCCCAGCAGGCCGCCGACCACCTCCCCGCCCCCTGGTACCATCCCCTCCCCTCGCTCCTCCTCCTCCCTCCCTGAACTCAACACGCAGATCTCGCACAGCGTTGCTCTCGCCCAAGCGTCGCAATCTCTGCTTTCGCCTACTAGTTACTTACTGCCGGATTTGCCGTTTTATTCCCCCCATTTCTGCTGCCGCTCCCGATTCCTCCGACCGATTTCGCGGCGGAATCCGTCGCTCAGACAGACAGATACCCCCCGCACCCACCTCCGACCGAATTCCCGGTGAAATGCGCGTGTCCTGCACACTGCTTCACCGGAGGCAGCAACGACCAACAGAGGGATCAGGATCAGTTCCCTGCTCGAACGAACGAGAGAGGGATCGGGAAGTGGCGTAGGAACCGAGCCAAGCCCAAAAGCGCCCCCCTTTTTCCCCGGCTGCTGACGGGCGGGACACTCAGCAGCCACTATTGCAGCAAATGTGTGTGCAGTGACGAAAACAAAAAGCAGCGGAGGGACGGATGCAAGTGCCATTCGGTGGTTGCGGTGGAATTGCGCCGCCCCTAGAGATTTAGGTGGCGGCTGCGATGTGTCGTCACGACGTGATGCAGCGGATGGATGGCCCAAACGAAAAGGATGGATGTATATGTATATATCTGTGCGGTTGATTGGTGGGCTGTGCAAGAGCACTCATGGAGGATAAAGAAACAACAGCGATTTGTGCTCAACAATCGCTTTCCCCAACTTAGGCACGCCTCTAGTGATCGGCATCTTCCCCTTTGCTTTGCTGTTAAGACGTAGACGCCTCGACGCCCACCGAATGGCTCATTCTACCATGTTTTTTATGTTGGGCCTGACAAATTTATTAGGAATCCATGCCAACCAGTATTCAAGGAATTTTCAGGTGTCTTGCTTGCCTATGTGAAATATATACTAGTAATCTAGTATGCAATGGCTGTTTTGATTGAAAATAAATCGCTTGTTGTGCAGGTTTATCTACACTCTTCTCAGCCTGGGGATCATCATGTGCTTGCTGACCTGCTCGGGCCATATCGCCGCCGAAACTGCAAACAGCCCCTGCCTGTCTTGTGTATCCTTTAAAGCGGCTTATGTGGCACTTGCTACTGGTTTATCAAAATTCCTCAAAGCCTTTTGCATCGTCGCATAGAGGCCAAACCTTTCTGTTTTTTTCCCATCAATGGTATCTCCATTTATTCGCAAAAAAAATGATATCTCCATTTAAGATATTAATGATATTTCAAAAAAAAGAAGGAAATTGCTAGCAGGTAAGTCTCGAAATGGGACTGTTGGCTCCTAATAATACTGTGACCTGGTGCTATGAACTATTTTGCCTTAACCTGACATGTATGTAGCACATGATCTTTGTATTCTTGCTTGTGATACTGGAAGCTGCAATCGCCGCCGATGTATTTCTGAATAGCTACTGGGAGGAGGTAAGGAGCACTTCAGCTGCTACATATACTTGCTATTTCTAATATATCAGCCATTTGATTTGTGATGGTTTGATAATCCCCAAACCTGCAGGATTTCCCAGATGACCCATCCGGGAAGTTTGATGAATTCAAGCATTTCGTGAGATCAAATTTTGACATATGTGAATGGGTAGCCCTCTCGGTGGTCGCTGCTCAGGTGAGCGATTCTCTGCTCAAGTCTTCCACCTCTTGCTTCTTATGCTTGTAACCAAACAGCTGTGTAGATATAACAAGTATGGTGGCAACATGTAGGGGGAAAAGGAAATGCTGACTGCTTTGCCAAATAACCAAATTAGACTTCTAAATAGTACCATAGTTTTATTTGTACCTTCCACTACTGGTTTGGCTCACAGCCAGTCTACCACTGTACTTTTCAGAGATAATCATAACAAACTTAGTAACAACAACACTAATAATAACATCTTATTATTCGCAGGCGCTATCAATCATTCTTGCAATGGTACTTAGGGCCCTTGGCCCCGAAAATGAAATCGAATACGACAGTGACGATGATGCAGTGCCCGCAAGGCTGCCTCTCCTAAGGAACAAGCCCCAGCATGGTCCAAGCTATGGCGAACCTAACTCACCTCGCAGGATTGATTCATGGCATGTGCGAATCTTAGACAAGGTGAGCTGTTTATCTATTAAACAAGCATCTCTTCCCTCTTTACGTTGGTGCACCGTCAGTCTGTACACCGTGACTGAAGCCTTGCAACTGTTTCCTTTCAGGCCAACGAACAATAAGATTCTTCTGACCTTACATGTCGAAAACCCTCCGGAAGGTTTCGCTGTCCTGACCCCTGAGGGTTACGGCCAACCTGAGGACATGATGATACTTCTTCTCTGAAGTAGTAGTGAGGATTGATACAACGACGGTGTGGTACCCGAATGGCTACTTTTATTGCCTTTCGACATGCGCAAGTATTTGAGTAGCATGTGACTAATCTTACAGCCTCCTGATGTATGGGATGAATGTTGTAAAATGTTTCACAAATAGATGATGGATTGATGCAATGTCTTACCCAATACAAAAAGGAAATCACCCTGATAGTCTGAACGCCATGCATTTTATGTTTCTGTTAATGTTTACAGAACGTGGGATGGGACTTTTTTCATGCTAAATTTCAAAGTTTAGTTGAACACTTAATTGTACCTAGTGTACTGTAAGGTACATACACGGTAGTTGCTTGGTCGATCGGTATCAGTAACGTACTGTCCACTCCCTCTGTAAACAAATGTAAGATGTTTTGGTTAAACTGTCAAGACGTCTTATATTTGTTTACAGCGGGAGTAGTATATTACGGAAAAATGTCACTCAGACAATAACAATCTGCAGATACGTTTTCTTACCTTGCAAGTAATTTTTAGTTACGCCATGAGAAAAACAGATTAAGGCAAAATATTTTTAACTGGCGGTAGAGGAAAAAGAGAGCTGAGAAATGGTGATGTAACCCCTTCACTCATTTCAGTCTATGTAGTGTATATTGAAATATCCAAAACATCTTATGTTTGTGAATGAAGGGACTATAACTGAAGCTACATAATATTATTCATCAGCACTAGAACGAACCAAGACATAAATAAATAGTACTGTACTACATACACACGCTAAGTACTACTATGAAATTACAAAACTTTTTCCATGCGAATTGTAAATGTTATCTACAGACATTTACAAAACCTGAGCACAACCCAACACTTCCAATCAGAGCTCACTGTAATTACAAACGGTGAGCACTCAATGACACCAAAACTGCAAATGTTTACACACACAAAAGAGCAGGCAGAGAGTTTATTTATTACAAGAAAAATGACCCAACCCAATGAACTCAACTTTGATAACAATGATACATCAGATCAGATGCAACATGGCACCTCAAATATTCCTTCCAACCACGCCCGACTATGGAACAGGGTTTATTGATCTGATACAACAACAATCATGCGACTGACAAACTCGCTTATTGATTGATACAGTAAGTGGTCTGCTAGGCACAGAATAGAAAGAATACTTTCGTCTCAGAAGGTCAAGCAAACCTAAAAATAGTGTACAACATCTCCATTGAAAGAGGAGCGAGCATTATCTTATCCTTGGTGAATCTGAAGACCTTGTCCACCGACCTCGACTTTGAAGCAGCGGAAACCATGCGATTCTAGCTCCGTGGTGACCTTCTCCAAAACTAACTTGGACAATACTGAAATTTATGATGTCAAGGAAGCATCGCTGCTAAGTCGGTAGATATAGACAAACGGATTATATATCAAAATGTTTGTTGAAACTAAAAAGAGTACCAAACATATATTAAGCATATCCAGATTAAATCAGCATACAAGAACTGTGAAACTCTTGGTTTGCATGCATCTAACAGACCTATTCATTAAGTGGGTACAGTTGTACCACAGAGAAATTAAAGGATCTTTACAAGTACAAACCATCAGTAAACATTAAGCAATTTCAAGTTCCTCCTTGCTACATTAATAAGTTTGACAGAATTACTAAATAACAATTCAGAAATCTTCATATGTAAAAATGTTAAGTGACGAGGATCTAGCTTTTACTGGCAAATCATTTTAATGTTAACATTCTTCACTAACAGAATGCCAAAGACTGCATTTGTGCACACTTCGATTTCTGGAAACATTCAGTTAAAATGCCATGAAGAAATCAACTGAAAGGAAAAGATATGCTGGATCTGAGGTATTTAAGCGATATAAAAGCTACACAAGTAATAAGATATAAAAGGATACGAGTTGGTATCAACGTCAAAACACAGCCTCCACCACCACCTCCGGTGAGCTTCGAGACCAAGTTATACTTCAATGTCGAGCGCAGCACGGTTTCTATAGAGGAATGGCTGACTCCCATGCACTGGAGCAAACCTTGGTTCATCTCCATGAGTTCTGCTAGCTTTTCTTCCTTTGAGGTCATGGCTATCTCATCAGTGGCAGCTAACTCGACAATGCTGGAAAGCTCTTCACTAATGGTGTTCACTGCATGGAAGACGGAAGCCATAGCATCGGGATGCCTAGATGCTCTTTCAGACACACCAGCAACCAGAGCCTTGGTGTTCCTACCAACCCTTGTATCAGTAATGAGCATTTTGACTGGATTGCCAGATTTGAGGTTTGTCAATTCTCCCTTCTTGAATTTGATCATGCTCCCTAATAGTCACGTAACAGATGAATTTAAATCCCAATGGCATGTAAAGTTATAAGATACTCCTATTTTAAGTTAAAAATACAAGATGTTTCTAGTACGAAATGACTCGGGTGAGATTTTCATGACTGAACTCCTATATATACAGAATACTCATATTCAAGTTAAAAGTACAAGATGGGACACTAGTTGGCAATAACAGGCAGTTGCTGATTTAAACTTTTAACGTACAACGGCAGCGCCGTTGAGGAATAGGTTCATGAAACAAGCACATATAACCTCAATACTGATATCTCCACTAGAGGAAAAAAATCTAAGTCGCAACGGATTTTGGCGCGAATTGAAAGATTCTAACCAATCAAGAGGAACAACATACCAAAAGTGCTGACAGCGTTGTCAATGCCAGAAGGCTTGCCATGAATAATCTTTTCCCCCTGGAACGCCCACGTGTTAACCAGCTCAAGATGATCCTTCCCCAACAACCGCCACTCTGTTCCGTCGACGGCGCCCTCAGCGCAAACCACTCCTGCCGCCGTCAGCAGCGCGCCCGACAACGACACGGAGAACGCGGCCGACGAACCAAGCCCCGCGCCCATCGGCAGACCCGAGCTCACCACGACCTTCCCAGGCCTACACCTGCACAAAAGAAAATAGCTGCATCAATTTTACTAGTTTCAGCATCAGAAGATTTGCTTGGGGGAAAGAAAGCTGCCGACTGACCCCAGGATGGAAGTGTAGAGGTAGAGGAACGCGGAGAGGCCTGCGGAGAGCCAGATCTTGGCCTCGGGTATCTCGTGCAGCTCCACGAGCCTGGCAATGGAGGCCAGCTCCTCCGGGGAGCAGGGCCTCGGGGCCTGCAGCTCCGCCTTGCGGCAGGTCTCCCCCAGCGCCTCGAGGAGGCGCGAGCATGGCCAGGAGAAGGCGAGGCCCGAGTCCGTCAGGTCGACCTCCACCTCCCCGCCGGCGCCGCCATCCCCTGCGAAAGAAACAGCGAAAGGCCAGAGCGTCAGTGCCGATCAGGAAAGAATCGAGAGTCGGATGGCGTTTGTTGGGCCGGGGAGGAGACCTGGCGGGGGCAGGTGGAGGGAGGACTGCGTGTAGAGGTCGATGGCGGCGGCGACGGCGGAGGAGCCGTGGACGACGGCGTGCTCGCCGGCGAGGATGATCTTGCCGGGCGCGCGGGCGCGGATCTCCATCGATCCAAATCTTTCGGCCTCTGACTGCCTCCCTCGCGCTACTGCCGCTGCTGTGTGATCCGCGGGCGGCGGTGGCGCATAGGAAGTATCGCCCGGCGTGGGGAAAGATTCAGAGGATCAAATCATGGCGCTCCTCCTCTGCGCGCAGCAACGCGGCGGCGGCGGTGGCGGCTGCCGATGTGGGTGAGCTCGGGTAGGGTAGGCTCGCTGGCGGCTGGACACTCGTCTCAGCTACCTTTTGCGCGACGGGATGCGGAAGCATTCACTGGTCGCCGGCGGCTGCCTGAACGCAGCGACGGGAACTTTGGACTAGAATTAGGATTAGCAGCCCCCTTGTCAAAATCTTCCTAAAAAAAGTCAGAAATTTCCACGTTTCTTTGTCTAATTCCATGGAAGGAATGCCAGTATTTATGACATCAATTCAATATCATTAGATACGTCATAAAATTATTATTTTTTCTATTTTATCTGTTTGGCATTAAAGACGCAAACAATATTTTTTACAAAGTTAATCAAGTACTGTAGTACTAAAAATTTTGACCATTAAAAAGGTATAATAGCTATATTTTAGAGTTAGTTAAGCATTCCAGTTTTCAACCCATCATGTTAAAAACCAAGAAGTCTGAATTAGATCCGGTTAGTAAAAGACCGAGTATTCGATCATGGTTAAAGATTTGGTTTCTCGGTTATGACTTCATCCTAGTATTATGATTCGGTCTCACAATTTCCTTTCTAAGATTACTATTATAGTGAATTTCGTTTTTGTACGTTTGCCTTCACCCTTTGTCCTTCATTCTTTTGTTTTTTCTCATGTGTATGTCACACGTCCTGCATTAACTCAAACGAATCAAATTAAATCTTATCAAAACCTCAACTAAATCAAAAACTTATCATGTTTTCACCTACCCATACCCTCACCCTTCCATGTCTCTCCATCCCACACTCCACCCCCATCCGTTGGGCATGTCTCGTTAATGGCAATCATCGAGCAGTACCCCCATATCGTGCCTCCATGGCTTGCTCAACTCTTCGTCGATAGGATTCCCTCAACCCAACGCCATGCACACGTCCCTTTCTTAAAGGATCGATATGGTTGACTAGAGGGAGGGGGGTTGAATAGGCAACTAACAATTTTTAGCTTTTTTTCCATATTAAAACTTTGCATCAAAGTAGGTTGTCTAGATGTGCAACTAGGTGAACAACCTATATGATGCAACAACAATGAACATACAAGCAAGCAAGAGAAGTAACACTAATAAGCTTGCACAAGTAAAGATAAGAGATAACCAAGAGTGGACCCGGTGAAGACGGGGATGTGTTACCGAAGTTCCTTCCTTTTGAGGGGGTCTCCGTTAGAGCGGTGTGGAGACACAATGCTCCCCAAGAAGCCACTAGGGCCACCGTATTCTCCTCATGCCCTCACACAATGCGAGATGTCGTGATTCCACTATTGGTGCCCTTGGAGGCGGGGACCGGACTTTTACAAACAAGGTTGGGGCAAACTCCACAACTCAATCGGAGGCTCCCAACAACACCACGAAGTTTCACCACAATGGACTATGGCTCCGTGGTGACCTCAACCGTCTATGGTGCTCAAACACCCAAGAGTAACAAGATCCGCTAGGGATTAGTGGGGGAATCAAATATATCTTGGTGGAAGTGTAGATCGGGGCCCTCTCAACTACTCCCGAGCAAATCAACAAGTTTGGTTGGCTAGGGAGAGAGATCGGGCGAAAATGGAGCTTGGAGCAATAATGGAGCTTTTGGGGGAAGAGGTCGGTCAACGAAGAAGAAGGGGACCCCCTTTTATAGTGGGGGTAACAATCCAACCGTTACCCCACTAAACAGCCCCGTAGAGGGCAGTACTACCGTAGGGGGCAGCGGTACTACCGCTGGACCCAGCGGTACTACCGCCCCCCCCTTACGGTACTACCGCCCAGCTAGAGAGGGCTAGAAGATAAAGGAGGGACTGGCCCAGCGCGGTACTACCGCAGTGGCAGGGCGGTACTATCGCTCTCGAGCGGTACTACCGCACCTAGTACCGCTGCAAGTGCCGCTCAACCCGACACGAGAAGTGCCCCCCCTCGAGTCGAGGCGGTAGTGGGCCAGTACCTCAGCGGTACTGCCGCTGAGGACCCTCAAGCGGTACTACCGCTGGGCACCGTGGTGCTACCGCTGGGGCCAAAGACTGTCCAAATAGCAGGGAAACAAACCTCCAACGATGCGGGAAGGCCCAGAGGGTGTGAAACGAAAGTGTACGTGATGATTCCACCCTACCCTTACCAAAGCGGACCCCCTCTTGATAGTACGGTGACTCCTACGAAACTAGTCCACCAACAAGAAACGAAAGAGCTACACCGTCTTGAAAAACACTCCGAGGGGAAAGAAATCGTCTCGAGCCAAAGGATGAATCTCTGAAATGCTCAAAGCACATGGTTAGTCTGCAAATATGTTGTCATCAATCACCAAAACTACATCGAGAGAGATATGCCTTAACAATCTCCCCCTTTTCGGTGGATTGATGACAACCAGGGATTTGCACAGGGAAAAGACATAAAAGTAAGGATACTTAGAGCTACAAAATATAGACGGGCTCCTGAATGTGTGCACCTAGTTAGTAGTGCCTTTGGAATGCAAGACACACACATTAGGATCAACACACACCCTATATTTTATAGTCCAAAAATTCTAGGCATGGGATACATGAGAGCAGGGTATAAAACAGGATAAGCATGCAACTCATAAGATAGTACAGTACTGAATAGACATAGATAATAAAGGTAAAGATAAGGTACCATATGTCTCACACCATATGTCTAGAACTTAGGTCTCACTGGAACCAAACCAAACCAAGCAAAAGGACGAGAAAACACAAGACACCACAAACCACAAAGACACACTCACAACACGACAACAACACAAATCCCTAAACTCTCTCCCCCTTTGGCAGCGAGACACCAAAAGGGCAAAGAGTGTTGCTACGGCTCTAGGTGATAGCAAGATGAGAATCTCGAACATCACATCTCAGCGTGATCGTTTGCACCTCCGTCATCGGCCGGAAACTACTCGGCGTCTGAATCGGTCCATGGGCAGTGCTGCTGAACCCATTCCTCCTCGTCAGTGATCCTCTCCTCAGATCCGCTGTTAACAGTGGCACCCAACTGGCGCATGAGCTCCTTGTGACGCCTGCGGGCCTTCTTCTCAGAGACATGAGACATGTACTGGCCATGAGACTCCATGAAGAAGAGCTTCTTCATCTTGCGCTTAATCCTCTTAGCCCATGAGGGCTCCACACCAGAGGGCTCATAGTCCTCATCCTTGTCGGCCTCATCATCATCCTCAGACTCCATGTCAACCTCAGAAGGTGGAGCATCAGAACGAGGGGCCTGGGTGCCCCAGTTGTCCTTCTTCCGCAGACGTTTGATATCATGAGAAATCAACTCTCCAGTTTCCAGCACGGCCTTGGGATAGTGATGTGCCCAGGCCTTCTCAATGAGCAGCATGATGAAAGGACCATATATCGGGCACTTGCGCTCAGAAATGGCAGACAGAAGCTCAGACCACATAACATGAGAAATGTCCAGGGTCTCTCCAGTGGTTTCTTCCTTCTCATGCTGGCAGAAGAGAAGCATGTCCACAAGATAGGAGTGGACCATATCCAAATTCCCAATGCGTGGGAAAAGAATCTCGCGGAAGACACGATGAAGGAAGTCCAGATAGGTAAACAACTCATAGGTTACCTTCTTTGTCTTGGGGTTAACCTTCTGAGAGCATTAGGGCCAGAGAGCTTGCTTGTGAGTGGAGGTGACATTGCGGTGAGGACGGAAGCTGACTGGATGCTCAAGCCCATGATCTTCCACCCCAAGTAACTCCATGAAGGCCTTCCATGTGACAGTGAGCAACTTGCCATTCGTCATCCAAGTCAAGGTCCTTTCTGCATTAGTTCCAAGATGGACAGTGGCATAGAATTGGCATATGATGTCGGCATCAAAGTCCTTGTTGAACTGCATGATTCTAAGAATGTTCAACTGAGTGCACATCTGAAGGGTTTTGCTAAAGTACTCAGGATCCTTTTCCATTGGATCGGTGTCGATGGAACGGACATCAACAAAGTGATTCTTCTTCACCTTGATCACATCAAGAAGATGGAGAACTGAAAGCGGTTCCAGAACGGGAGGTTAACCAAAGTGGGATCTTGATCTTCCTCATAGGGGTTGCGGCGACGCTTTGCCCAAAATTCCTTGGCAGTCATCTCAGTCACAGTCTTTCCCTTTGGCTTGTTTGTAGATATCTTCGAGTGCTGAGGTGGCGGTCGAGCACTTGAGGTTGCGCCTGCTGGCGGCGGTTGAACACTAGAGGAACCACCTGCTGACTCAGAAGTGCAGTAGCGCTTTGACATTGCACGACCGGGGTTGACACGGCGGACCTGCTGCTCAGGATGATCATCACCTGGAACCAAAACACACGACCAGAAGAAACACACGAAAGAAAGAGCATAAGCCACCAAACAAAACAACAAGGATCAAAGCTTGGTAGGAAAGGATGGAACTGGGCATCCAGCGGTAGCACCGTGACCCAACAGCGGTAGTACCGCTTGAGTGGTAGTACCATGACACAACAGCGGTAGTACCGCTTGAGCGGTAGTACCGCTCGAGGAGAGCGGTAGTACCGTGCCAGATGGGGAACGGTGGTTCCCTGCTACCGTGGTCAGATCCGGCACTACCGGAGATGCTAAGTTCAAAAACAAACCTACCAAATTTCAATCCATAGTGCCTAGAAGCCATCTCCATCCAACTCAAGCCTCGCCTTACCCAACTGACGAGAAGAACAATGCCTATTGCCCCTAAAAACTAGATGCAAGATCTAGGCAAAGAGAGAACGGGAACGAGGGCAATACCGGCATCCATGGCTAGAGGACGTGGTGGGGATCGACTCCACCAGAGGAAATGGAGAGAGACGGCCCGAAAGCGGCGGCCGGCCGGGCCCCTCCTGCGGCGAGA